CACTAAAACAATATCAGGCACCTTAACAGTTCACAGTTTTGTATTTTTCGAAAATTGTTATATTCTGCGAAATAGCAGTCATTTGGGGCAAAGTAAAATTATTGTAAATGACAGCTGAAAACGAGGTACGTCGTACCATTCACGGTGTTAAATTTTTAAAACCTAAATATCGGATATTTACTGTAAGAACCTAGTTAAAAAGTCTTGTATCAGTAAATTTTGTTCTAATCACCAGAGTGAACCTGGAACCGGGTTGTGTATGCCGGGCATGAGGCGACTATTTCAACACCTGATGTCTTCACTGATTTACTGTCCAGTCACGGAATGTTCACAGCTGGTTCGCCTTTAAACCAAATGGAATCGTACGGTGGATAATCAAGATGGATTACGCTCTTGCATTAACATTTTTATAAGTATCCCTGACACAACCGCGGTACATACATGTTGAATTGCTCATGGCATTTTAGAATGAAATAAAAAATGTCCTTAAAATACTCTTTGAAACATGTAGGGGATACTGGAAAATTTCCTTAAATTTATCAGTTCCCTGTAATAGATGCATGATGATAATGAACAACTGGGAACACATTAGTTAATGTTATGACTGCCAATGAACTTGAAAGACGAGAGGGGTAAGATAGGAAGTTTCAAAGTTAAGGTGTTCGGAGTCAGTAGTGCACAATACCGCTACGATTGATGAAACGGTCTTTGAATCGACGAGGCAATATCTGTATGAATCTCCCAATGGCGATTTGAGGGAGTCTGGCCCATTCCTCTTGTCGTACCTGTCCACGTTCAGTCAACGTAGTCGGAGACGCAGACGTTTCCTTACCAAGTCCCAAACATGGGAAAGGCCTGGTGTCATCGTGGACGTAGTGTTGTGTGCCGTTGGAGACCAGCATTGGCCGTGAGCACGGGCGTTGTCGTCCTGAAACACAAACCGTCGACACACACACCTTGTGCACAAGACCGGTATGTCGTCCCAGTAGCAGTCTCCAGTGATCCTCGAACAGCACGGACTGATGTGGGGTCAGTCGATGCCAGCCTACACCACAACCATCCATGTCAGGTTGTCCTACGACCACCCCTATTAAGGAAGTATAGGGCGAATCAAGAGAACAGTGACGATCACATTAGGTCATATGTTGTGTACACTGTTGACGGGAATTAAAAATAGATACATTCAAATGATTAAGTAAATGCAACAGGGATTATCAGTGTTTCGGTTAGCCGTGGCGCAATGATTGACGCACAATGACGAATGTACCTATTTGCATTTCCTCCAGAAGTAATACTATTCAGAAAGTCAGATTGATTCTGATTATTTACAGAACTCAGTCCTCTTGCACATCTCACATTCACATCAGTGTTTGAACTAGTCATATTTATGGATTATGCACCTATTTCCAGCGATTAACAGGTTAAATGGTCGCAATGGGGATCTTCGCGTCTTATGCGATAATTTATAGAATAAAAAAACAGTCACTGCAAAATAAGATAAAAACTTCTCGACTGATATTGATATCAAGCATTTGAAGTTACGTGTTGCTTGTGTTCCCGTAATTACGGTATCAAGAAACAACATACGTCTGAATATAAGGCTAGTGAAGCTACCTGCAGATCTCATGTTACACGTGTTGTGTGTGTGTTCTCAGTGTCCCCGACTCTCGAGGGAAAATACAAACATGAAACCATCTTTAGTCTAGAATGATGTGGTAAGTCTAGATTGCTTCAGTCCATAGAAACTTTGCTCTGCACTTTGATGGATTTATCTATATATATTTGTATTTTGAAACAGGAAAAGACACGTATACTAGGTCGCCTCATAACAGCTTATAGTTAAAGCGTTTGCTCGTCACAACGAAGACCTGGATTCGATTCCCCACCTGGGTACAATGTGTGACGCCCATTTATGGTGTCCCCTGCCGTGATATTGCTGGAATATTGCTAAAAGCGGTGTAAAACCATACCCACTCACTCATAACATTAATTACACTACGCAGTAGATTAAAATATGCTCCTGTTGTCAATACAAACATTCGTAAAATAACAGAAAGGCGAAATTTAGCATTTACCATTGAAACCGACTCTATGCAGTCTTCCCAAAGAGCAAGCGTCCTGTGAAGAGTGTTACCCTAACAGCTTACCATAGGCGGTCAAGCTTGAGCTGGGATAGGTAAACACCAGAGACAGACCTAGAATCAAGGGCGTTACACCACGTTTGCAGACGAATCAAGGTTTTGCCTCGGATAGCAGAAAATATCAAGAAAGTCTCAAGGCATGTCCTCAATCGGTCATCTGTCGGGTGTACACGGAGAGTGTACGCCGACCCGCCAACACCAGACAACGTGCAGTCCGCACCTTTGACCTTTTAGTGAAGCACCACAGAAATATACAGTCAAAACGTTAAGAGAAGTTGAACTGCGACCTCGTGGCACGACTAGCTGAAGCACGACGGATTGTGATGCAGTCTGTTGTATCTGTCTGTGGCGGTCAATTTGTCCCAGAGCATCAAGCATGGTAGTCACGTGACAGTTCCAGATCAATTTTTCAAAGGCTGCAAAGAATTGCTTGTCATTTGCAATTCAAGGATTGCGAAGTATTTTTATTTTTGTTTATGCCCACAGGGTGACTGAGTAACTTCCTTTCTTGGTTGAGCCTGGGTATCCACTTCTTCATCAATCTGCCTCCAGGGGAGTATTAATTCCTTCATTCGCCTCTAAAATGTACTTACATTAAAGGTTGCTGTATCCAAGGATTCAGGAACAAAAGTAACCATAATTTGTACATGGAGTGGTCAGGTGTCAGAGTTAAAGCTGTTATATGTCTGATATGTCAGTGGCGAAGGTTCACTTGCAGCATTAAATTCGATAGGCTAATATTCGTTTACCACACCATTGTGTTGACATGCAACATATCCTCCATACTCTGATTGGGTGTGTTCCGTTACCACATACAATGAAACCGTCTCTTTCTGGGCATGCGATAGAAACCCTTATGGAAAGAATCTGTGTAAAGCTGATTTGAGATTACAAGATGAACAGCTCTTGAAACTTGCCACGTGAAGACAGCGTTTTTGTTTTGCTTTTCCTGTTCCTTCCTGAGCCTGAAAAGGTCCAACAGCGTGGAGTCCTACCTGTGTGTACGGGCAGGTGTACTAGATCAGATGGGCATGAGCTACCATGATATGTCTTTCTACTTTTGTAATCTTCTTGCGACACTGAGGATCAAAACCTTTGCCGAGAGAGCCATGAATGTCCTGTTAATTTCCTATTCCTTGCTTTATTCCTCAGAATTAGACTTTATAATACATCTTGCGATCCACTGTCCGGGTGACACGAGTATTGAACAGTTGATTCTGAAGACAGGTGTTGCCCGTCGTCCATCACATTTCATCACATCGTCTAAATGTAACTGAAATTGTACAGGATTATGTTCACCCAAGTTTGGATTCTTGTCAGTCTTTTCCAATCTGAGTATCTCCATTCTCCACACAAGGAGTGGTCCATAACAATTTTAATTTCAAGAATACATGTCCTTTTTGGTACTTTTGATAGCCTTCTGGACCAATCACTTTCACCTCTGCCCAAGAGAGGGTGGTCAAGGCCCATTCCCCTTGTACATTGACATTTACTGAACTGTGGTTTCTTTGAGCTTGTGACCGCAGCGCAAACATCTTGGTACCATGCTCGGCAAATTCCATCCTTTACTATATGTAGCCCAGATGTAGCCCATGTACAGTGAAGCCCCGTTATATCTATACATTATTTCTTTTTCACTTGACCGACTCCGTGGTGTAGGGGGGTAGAGCGTCCGTCCGGAGAGCGGAATGTCGCGGTTTCGATCCCCGACCGCGTCATACCAAAAGACGTTAAAACATGGTACTTGTTGGTCCCTGCCTGACGCTCGGCATTAACGGGTACAGCAAGGACTGGTCGGCTCGGAGTCAGTATAATGTGTCTGAGTGGGGTATTCATGCTTCACTGCGGCATGGTATCTCAGTGGGCTAGCACTATAAAACCAGCTTCAGTCTGGGCTAGTACAAGCAGCCGCACATACACACGCATGCACGTCGTCATATGAGCGAAATATTCTCAAGCACGACGTAAAACCCAATTTCACCTCACCTCACCTCACCTCTTTTTCACTTACATCTACGTAGAACATACTTTCACCTCCACGTGTGAAATTATAATCGCGAGTATCGTTACTGAGACCATTATATTGTGTCGTGAAGTTACGACCCTACTTGTTAAAATATAGTCTGTTATATATATAAACTTTTCAAAAAAAAAGAAACTATACATGCTGTTTTGGAGTTTACTTACTGAGTGCATATAATTGATTCAAACATGACATCATTGCTCAATTACAGTAAAATCATCACTTTACAAATTTCCAAAATATGATTATGCAGAAAGTGTTTGGTAAAACCACAGAGGGCTATTAAAGCCACTTGGTCAGAGTGAAATGTCAGTATCTGGTGTGACCACCATGAGCATCGATAACAGCTTGGCAGCGGTGACCCATAGAAGAAAGGAAATGCCGAATGCTGTTTTGAGGAATTTTTTCATACTATGCGCTATGAGGTGCTGTGTGCAGTTCTTGTAGTGTCTGAGGTGGCGGATTACGTTGGCGCAAGCGTCGATCAAGAGTATACCATAAATGTTGACTGGGGGACAACTCGGGTGATCGAGAAGGCAATGGTAACACCTGAACATTGTTTTGCTGGAGGAAGACCTGTCCAACACGTGCAGCATGAGGTCGAGCATTGTCATGTTGTAAAGGTCAACCGTTGACGTTGATGAAGGGAACGCAGGGAAAAAAGTCTGGCTTCCCAATTGCGCACTGTCTCGTCGGAGATTCGGCCCAGTCCAGGGATTTGGATAGTTGTGGATGATGTGGCCATGGTGTTTGAACGAAGATGTCTCAAACGGATGTAGAGATCCGGCGGTGGTAACTCTAGGTCGTCCTGAGCTGGGTCTGTCATTAACACTCCCAGTATTGTTGTATCGGGTCCATAGGTTTGAGATGGTCTGTCTGGACACGCTGAAGTGCCTTGCCACCTCATGCTGCGATACCCGTCCTTGTCAACGGCCGATGACGTTGTGTCGTTGAGTTTCTGTCAGTCTTTTCATTCTCTTGTCGTCTATAGTGGCTCAAAGCAATGCATGTGGAGTACCATTGATGTGGATTTTTAAAGCCTACAGTCGTAGGCTCCAGCTCAAGGTGATACACAATTTCATGATGCACGTGCATTTCATGTAGGGTGCGTTTTAGCGATTCACTACAGGCGTGAGTTTAACGTTACGTTTCTGTTCAACGTTTCTTTTTTTATAACTCTTTGTCGTCGGCAACCATTCCCCCACGTGTTCGGATTCAGCATGGATTGGTTTGTGTCGAACGGAGATGGTGGAAACTTCTGGCTGGCAGGAGTCTTCATATCAGGGGGCGGTGGGGTAGCCCAGTGGTTATAGCGTTTGCTCGTCACGCCGAAGCCCTGGGTTCGATTCATGGGTACAATGTGTGAAGCCCATTTCTGATTTCTCCAGCCGTGATGTGACTATTGCTAAAAGCGGCGTAAAACCTAACTCAGGGGGCGGTGGGGTAGCCCAGTGGTTATAGCGTTCGTTCGTCACGCCGAAGGCCCGGGTTCGATTCATGGGTACAATGTATGATGTGACTATTGCTAAAAGCGGCGTAAAACCTAACTCACTCACTCTTCATACGAAGGTATCAAGACCCATGGGTTCTTGTTTCGTCCAATCAACACCAAAATAATATGAAAGGACGGCCAAACCTGTTTTGATATGGCTTCCAACGGTACAGAACCATCAACAAAATCAACATTGACATAGACATTCCGTCCATCATCCTTGACTCTAATTAGATTTGTAAAATGCCTTGTTTTTATCGAGAGTTTTGACATGCTTGTCAAGGTTATAATCAGACAAATTAATGTGTGCAAAAGTGCACAATACAATTCTGTCATGAAGAGCCTCCACGTTAATCAAGCACGCCCTCCCATTAGAGTTTATGAACATAAACGATTAGTGTTGTCACAACCCCTAGTGTAGAGTACACAACCCTGTGCACTTAAAAGAACCCACGAATCTGTTGGTATATGACCAGATGGTGGCCAAATGAATACGTGCAAACACTTAGTTGCGGGTACATCAACGTGCAGTAAACTTGGACAAGGTACTATGACTATCTGTCCCAGTCCACCCAGCTGTGAATGGGTACCTCGTTAGGACAAGAAAGCCACAATAACTCGGTGCGCCTAGTGGCTGCAAGAGTTGCATACTCCCCAGGGAGTTGAGATTGATAACACGATGTGCCGTTGAGATTGACATCCAATGATCGAGAGGGGAAATACCAGCGCCTTGAGCATGCACTAGTTGCGTGGATATGTGCGATATATAAATATCGTATATATTAATATATTAATGGAAAAGCCAGGGTGTTGTCCGATATGAGATTTCTTGCGAGGGTGTCAATTCTCTTAATTTTTTACTCGTCCAATCAACAACGCCAAAAGAATATGACGGATGGGCACAGCAAGTATTTGTGGCTATGAGGCTATGTTACGAGCGTTCAGCTCTGAACTCAAATCTACATTTGTATGGTGTCCGAAGTGTGTATCTTATATGGGTATTCTGGAGTTTGTGCTTAACCTGCATGTTCGTATATGAACCTCACCTTGAGATGGCTAATAACTTCTCCCCCACGTTTTCTCCTATTTTGTTATTGCTATACAGTATTAGTATTAAATGCGGCGGTATCACTCATAACTCGTGAACACACTCGCGAATAACAGTGAACAGGCCTGTGAACGCCTTTATGTCACATTGCTCATTTGCATATAATGGAACGTTCTTCAGATTGCTCATTTGCATATAATGGAACGTTCTTCAGATGGCTCATTTGCATATAACTGGAACGCTTTTCAGGGGCATTCTCACCTTCAGATATTGGTCTTTCCATGTGATAAAATTCCACCCACGGCTGTAACAAAATGTACCACTTCTCTTTGCTTTTGCATGTCACCTTTAAGTTTTTCACCAAGTCGGAGAAGAACCCGTCTGTATCAGTGATCCTCCACGAGAAACGCAGGTTTATACGGTATAATATCTCACGTCCGAATCTCAGGTATAAGGCACTGATTAATGTATCGCTATACTAGATATTGACAGTTTTAATGACTTTAATCCTTGTAAATGTACGTTCTGCAATAACTCTTTCTGACAGTATACGTATTACTGCGAGGTTCTCTTTCCTCAGTGCGTGTCAGATAAGCAAGAATATGCCAGTACTTGGCAGCACCTTCGCTCACTCTAACATATCAAAGACAAGCTGTTATTACAAAAACGCTAACACAAATGTAATTATTTCGGCCAAGTTGTTGAAACACTCAAACAAGATGGAAACTCTTAACACTGTTCTGTCATGTCGCTTGAAGGCAGCGGCTGCCGCCACCTCACACACGGCCAATACGTAATGAATAGTGCTGGAGATGTGGAGCCGGCAAACTGAGGTTTCATAGGAAATAGGGTGAATACAAGCTTGCTGTCGTTACAGACGTCTCCGCTACAGCGACAGCCAGCAGCTTGTAATTTTTCTTGTTGGGACCATGAAATAATATCGAGATATCCGAAATATCCGTATCGAGTTAAAAGAGCTTAAATAATGATAAATTATGAAGGATTCTGCCGGACCGAGATGTTATATCGAGACAACTGAGATATCGAGTTATCAGAGTTCGACACAACGGTGCTCGACTGTAGCTGGAATATTGCCGGCGCTGAACAACAAGAAGAATTCTGCGTCCATATTTAGTACTGTTATATAGAGTATATAGTAGTAGTAAGTAGTAGGTGCTAGCATAGCCACAACATTGTTTAACCTACACAGTTCATGAAGTAAGGGTATACAATGCGGGTTAGTTCAGTAAATACATAACCCTGCAGAGTCCCTGTGAACAGCGATGACAAAAACACGGACTCATGGAAACCAAAGACAATGCAATCTTTGGAGGGCGTTGAAGCGATCGGACTCACGATAAGGGATTTTATGTGAGCTTTTTCTGTATGCAGTTTGCGACACACTTAACAGCCGTTGGAGTGGCGAATTATGAGCTGACTGATGTGTCTTGAGTCTCACATAGAGATACTTGACATTAGATGTTGAAGTTAAGTGAGAATGCGTTATAAATAACACATATAGTAAGGGAGCGTCCATAATTCATGGCTAGGGGGGTGGGGGGTTGGGGAATGATGATTTGTATGGGGAAGGAAATAGTACATTGTGAATGACACCCTCCCCTGAAATGTATGTACAAAGTAAGTGACACCCCCCCCCCCACACACACACACACACACCCTGCATAATCAATGACACACCCACCCACACACCAACGCTTTCCCATAATTTTTAAGCAAAATTTTAAAATATTTTTAGGTACAAAATTATTAAACCCCCACTCCCCCACACCCCCACCCCCTAGTACATGGCACCCCTTGCCTAACCAGAACAAAATGGGTGACCCCCCCTTAAAATCATCATCACCCACACTAGCCATGAATTATGAATGGTGATGATAATAATGATGTCATATGTTATGAATTTTATGGCCTTCAGAAGAGGATCTTTTTATTGCTTTGCTTTTCTGTGTTTCTCTATATGCTTGAAGCCTTTTGCTAAACAAAGAGGAGGATTATCACCCTCGAACACAACACAGATCCCCAACATCTCTTACACAGCTGACCTTGAACTTCCTCACTCTACACTGATAACACAGATTCATTCCCTTAAGACATGGCACTTTAATTGGAAAAGGACTCGACAATGCAACATTCTTCGTCTGAAAGGTAGAATAGGGACGATCTGGCAAGCGGGTGCGAAGTGGATCTCGGGAAATGCCAGGTTAGCTAGAGACTCCAGTAGACCATATATACGACAAACTCCTGGGGTGCAGGTTAGAGACTCCAGTAGACCATATATACGACAAACTCCTGAGGTGCAGGTTAGAGACTCCAGTAGACCATATATACGACAAACTCCTGGGGTGCAGGTTAGAGACTCCAGTAGACCATATATACGACAAACTCCTGGGGTGCAGGTTAGAGACTCCAGTAGACCATATATACGACAAACTCCTGGGGTGCAGGTTAGAGACTCCAGTAGACCATATATACGACAAACTCCTGGGGTGCAGGTTAGAGACTCCAGTAGACCATATATACGACAAACTCCTGAGGTGCAGGTTAGAGACTCCAGTAGACCATATATACGACAAACTCCTGGGGTGCAGGTTAGAGACTCCAGTAGACCATATATACGACAAACTCCTGGGGTGCAGGTTAGAGACTCCAGTAGACCATATATACGACAAACTCCTGGGGTGCAGGTTAGAGACTCCAGTAGACCATATATACGACAAACTCCTGAGGTGCAGGTTAGAGACTCCAGTAGACCATATATACGACAAACTCCTGGGGTGCAGGTTAGAGACTCCAGTAGACCATATATACGACAAACTCCTGGGGTGCAGGTTAGAGACTCCAGTAGACCATATATACGACAAACTCCTGGGGTGCAGGTTAGAGACTCCAGTAGACCATATATACGACAAATTTCGGGCGGAATACAGACAGAGGTAGACGTAATAAATGATGGGTTGAGAGTTGAACGCTCGCAATGAAGTCGAAGCCACAGTATTTATACTGTTCCCGTCCTTTCGCATTCTTTTGTTGCTGTTGATTGGCTGAGTATTGACACAGTCACAAGAAGAAGAATGTCAGACAATATAGCCCACCACCCTCGCTCTTCCCTCGGTCGTTTATATGTATCAATTCATTTGAAGGACGTGGTTTGATTACCGTATAAGATGCTCTTCATGACAGAATTTGACTGTGCACGTTTGCGCACATATATTTGTGTGATGCTTCTCTTGTGAAGCTTGTCAAAGTTCATGATGAAAACGAGGCATAGTTTGCATAAAAGAGCCAAGGATGTTGGATATACCCTCAAAGTCAATGTTGGTTTTGTTAATGGTTCTGTACTGCTGAACGGTATAGCAGTACCGAGTGTTCACCAAGCAAAGTGACATATCAAATCCGCACAGGATCAATGTTTTCAATGGAAGGCTTTCTAACAGACCACGAAAACAATCAACCTTGCAGAATCGTAGATACATGGATAAAGTCGCCTAGCCTAAAAAGTGAAATAGAAGGCTTTGACGCTTAGGTCCAGTCACTTCTCACTTGAAACCACCATTATGTGATTTCGCATCTAATTTGAATAAGAAGATGATTATGCGGTGGATTTTATGAGACTGTCCCACACATTGTCAGTGTGTGCCCAGTGTGGGTACAAACAGAGTATCTGAAGCGACATGAAAGTGTTGATCGGTCCATTATTACCGTTTTCGCCATGCTTGTGCTGTTGACTCAGGGGTCCATCCTTGGTACAACCCAGAATACGAAGAAGGAAAATGACAATTATAAAAATACTTAGGACAGTCCCGTATACAGACGTATACAAGCCAATAAACTTGACCGTGTCAAACTTTTCATAAAACCGATAAAACGGTTTATATCATTGTATTTTCTGTCCTTTTTTGACAATAAAGTGATTGTCATGATTCAGGAACACCATGCTTGCATCCAAAGTATCAATCTCATTCCCCCTTGTTCTTGATGATTCAGTTTTGGTACCTCCACCATCAGTTGACTGGAATTGGGAGAATAGCTGGTTTGCTGGCAGGAGCAGTCTTTCCGACACTGGTCAATGTTGAAGTCTGAAGGCCATCGAGCTGATGATGAGCTTAACCAGACTGACAGGATGATATCCACATTTATGTGGCACATAGGATGGGAAAACATGTGAGATGGGATAAGCCCCGAACCGTTGTGGCTACGTTCTACTACCTTATGAAGAGCGACTTAGTGAGACATGCTACTAAGGAGCTGAAGGGTACTCACTATTGTGTGAATGAACAGTATCAATAGGATATTATTTTTTTTCAGATTGAGCACAATCAGTGTTTGCCCTTAACCCCGAATAGTTGCAGGCCCTAAGGATCCAGAACCATAAAAGGTTGTTGGTCCTGATCAGAATGTGTAGGTCCTATATTTTAGCTACAATATAAGTAATTCCCAGCATACAAAAATGTGACAACTAACAAACTGAGTTAAAGAGTTAAAGGATAACTTGTTCGAGATTAAATGATCTTATCTCACTAATCTAAATTGCTTCCTCGAAAATGATAGTCGTTTCACTTACAGACAACAGCTGCTGATCGAGATAAAAACTGTAAATTACTGAATGATATTTTCTGAAACACAATACTCTTAGTAATTCTGGAAGAAAAAGCTGTCGGCCATAAGGACCTGCAGTAAACAGATGCTGTGGGTCCCAGTGGTTTTCAGCCGGCTTCGGGTCTAAGGACAGACGTTAATTTCGAACGCTGAGCACAATACAAATGCAGAGGACGCATCTTATCATGATATAGAAGTCTATGAAGAACTGGATGGCTGTTGGAAGGTAATGATAATATACTTGTCAACAGGAAGTCAGCTGTCAAAAAAAACATGTACAAAATCATGGACATACAATTTTTTAGACATGTGTAAAAATAATTGTATATTGTAAATGCACGTTGAAAGTACTTGCAAGCACAAACACGCTTTAGAAATCAGGAGTCAATTCAAAATAGACATCATCTTATTAATTGTAGTCGCAGTTATAGGACCATTAGAAAGGATACAAAAAAACCACCAAGTTTGCATGCAAAAACAAGTTGATCTATTATCAGTAAATAATGCTCGTTCATTTTGGAAGATACTGAGGGGAAATGATGAGTGAAAAGAATGATAAGCATCCAGGTATGACCGATTTACATGAACACTTCAAGAATCTTAATGACAGCACTACCTCTGTGAATGAATTCAAGGATGATATCCGGAAATGAATAATGATTTAAACAGGCGATTTGAAAAAGAGGAAATACTTCCGATAACACATAGCTTGTATATGATAAGCCCAGTGGAGAGGATGGAGTTATACATAAACATATAAAGCCTTTATATGTTCATTTATAACTGACCGCCTCCGTGGTGTAGTGGTTAGAGCGCGTCATACCAAAAGACGTTAAAATTTGGTACTTGTTGGTCCCTGTCTGGCGCTCGGCATTAATGGGTACAATAAGGACTGGTCGGCTCGGAGTCAGTATAATGTGTCTGAGTGGGGTATCCATGCTTCACTGCGGCATGGTATCTCAGTGGGCTTGCATTATAAAACCAGCTTCATTCTGGGCTAGTACAAGCAGCCGCACATACACACGCATGCACGTCGTCATATGAGCGAAAAATTCTCAAGCACGACGTAAAACCCAATTTCACCTCACCTCACCTCATTTATAACTCCATCCTCTCCCCTGGGAGTATCATACCTTTCGTCCAGCTTTCCGGGAAAATCCCTGTTTCCAAAATAAGGTTAAAATGTATATATAGTCTCTGAATATATATAGTTTTGATAGGAGCAAATAATACAATTTGAATTGAGAAGATGGCCCAGTGACAGAGGAGATTCCTGAACTTGAGAAAAATCAGGACTTGCTTCATTTAGGGCATAGCACTGAAGGGAGGGTTAGGCAGCAGAGACAATAAAGTGATTCAGACAGACTACTATTTTGTTTACAAACATCCTGTAGACATGCAAAAGAATTTAGATAACTTTCTAAATTATTGTAAAGTGTAGAAACTGAAAATATATGTTTCAAAAACAAAGACTATTATGTTTGGAGGAAACAAAAATGATGAAAATATTCCATTAGAAATAAATGGATAAAAAGTTGGAAGATACGTATTTGGGAATTGTTTTTCAAAGATTAAATGAATTTAACCAGCAAGAAAATCCCTTATGGAGCAAGCAACACAATCTGTGTATTATATCCTTTAAAAGGGAATGTCTAATAGCCTGTCAATACAGTGTTATCTTAAACATTTTGATGCAAGGTGCTACCAATTCCATTATATGGTCGTGAGGTATAGGGGTTTGAGGACTGAAGAAGCATTGGGAAGGGGTACATCTAGACTTTCTGCGTACACTTCTTCCATTAAAAAAGAGTACGTCTGAATATATAATATATAGGTGGAAGAACGCATCTGTATATACAAGTGTACAAGTATGAAAACATACTGGGCAGGAATTTTATCAGGAAATACATGTACATCAAAACTTTTATCCTTGTTGTATATATATTGCTTTTTGAAGTTGAATAAGTGGATTTCTATATTGGAATCTATCTCAAGAAAACCGACATTTTGTACATTTGGCAGTATCAACATTGTAACTTCATTCTTAGCTGTAAATGGTTATTGAAAGACTTAAAGATCAACCTGGTCTTCTGAATTAATTTTATAACTCTAGCAAAGTCACTATATACAGCATCTTTAAATCCGAGCTCTCTTCAGAACTCTATTTTAATAAGATTCCCAAAAAAGCCAGTGGTATCCACTAATTCAATTTCGGACATCGTGTCCCAGATAACAAGTTGAACTCGGCAGATGAAATAACATACCCTGAATGGAACGAACCCGTAACCTGTGTCAGAATAACTGCGCTGATGATGAATACCATGCACTTTTGTGTTGCGATTACTTTTGCTGATATAGAAAATAACAGTTGTCACCATACTCTTATGTTCATCCAAACGTGTTAAAACCTAACTAAGCTAAGGAAATAATTTCCCATAGCCTTTACACAATATTTTATATTTGGTATTACATAAATATAGCCAATTGTCCTACAGCCGTACATTTAATCTGAATAATATTGTACATTGAAGTTCATATGCCACGGGTAGTTCCCTGAAAGTAATAAAGGTTCTGTTCTGTTTCAGGAACACCTGAACCCTTTTTGCTGTATTTATTTATTTTAATAACAATACAATAATGTTTAGAAACTGATTCAATAAGCTGAAAAAAACACATAATATTAATTACGTTTAGTAAAAACATTATTTTCACACAACGTAATTATCCATCAGTGCAACAGTAACCAGGACACTATCCCACAGTTAGCTTCACGAATTGTCTGAATATAAAACAAGGCTGCAACTGAGGACTGATTCGCACTCCCCTCTAAAACGTTTCAAGTTTTCTGGGCCTACACATGAAGTCAGTACGTTCAATTCACGTGTTGCATTTGCACATGTATATCATTTTAATGACGAGTACTACCGTTAACAAGCGTCAACGCTGATGAAACACTCAACCGAAATGTAAGTGGCGAAGAATGATAAAAATTAAAATACTGTTCTTCTCCACAGGAAAACGACACGTTATCTAATCGTGTACATATATACAAGTGTAGGGAAATGCTAGGTTTTGATAAAACCAGCATCTGTATTTACTTACACCTTGTAACCGTATATTTATGTGGTCTCTGACAGGAGCCACGTCTGGTCCGGGAATCAAGTGAGGTAGCCGAGGACAATTCGTCCGTCTCGCTGTTTTTGGTCCATTTCAACTGTCTGGATGTTGGGCGGAACATCCTTGCATAAACATACATGTGGTTACTGAATGATTTACATGCGCGGGAGATGCGCAGATATGCCCCACTGAGGCCATAAAACCTTACACTGTTTCGCCAGTCTACTCTCGTGAAAACTTATATAGCTTGATATCGTAAGGTTCGCCAGTGCATATGGATTCGTTAAATATTTCTTCAATATTAGATAGAAAATAAATGTTTACCCCCAAGCGAACCTCATTGAAGTCAAGTGAATCTCATTGAATCAATGACTCATGGACACAGCCATCCAAGACATATTTCTTAAGACTAAGATATTGGATAGACAAGCTCAGTGACAAGTGGTTTGAAGAACTAAAACCTTCTGTAACGGCGTTTACAATAGTAATTTAGGAATAGTTTTGAAAAAACTCATCTAAATATGTTGACAAAAAGATTATTCTGTTAAGTGCACTCAGTGACCGACCATTTTATACTCTGGGGTCAGGACCTGGTATTTTGTCTGGATATTTTTTCTGCTACAGCTGCAAAACCACGTACATATTTCTTTAATTATGAGCACATATATAACCATCTCGAAACATTGTTTTTTTAGGCAGACAATTTATTTCTTTTTCAACAGATTAAAGTGGAATTGTAATTCTGACGTCAGCGTTAATTGTCCGTGATCAGAGACATTGCGTAAACGTTATTTACGGTGGAACAAAAGTGTTTTGTTTTTGTAGCAGTTTTTGTTTTCATGGGCGCCTGAATGCTAAACAATGATCGTGTGCTGTTCACATTTGAAATGTGACAGTAACATGCTCATAACACCACGCAAACATCCAAATTATGGACGTCTGAGTGGTGATGGGGGCGGTGGGGTAGTCCAGTGGTTAAAGCGTTCTCTCGTCACGTCGGAGACCCGGGTTCGATTCCCCACATGGGTTCAATGTGTGAAGCCCATTTTTGGTATCCCCGCCGTGATATTGCTGGAATATTGCTAAAAGCGGCGTAAAACCATATGCTCACTTACTCACTCCCCAAAATTATGCGAAGTTCATTAACATGTGCGTGTCAATTGTTAAATTATGAATTACCAACCTTAAAGTAAGCAAGATATATTGATTATCATACAAGATTTATATTTCAGCTCAGAATAATTGTATACATACTGACCGTATTTGGAGCACAGCTAGTTTTTGCGGCAGCGATAGCGTACCGTTGTCATGCAATAGTGACTTGAAGACCTACCAATGGTCTATACAGAATCGTCGCATCACAATGAAGTGTGTAGCTTAAAAACCACAACAGATATAAGCATGAAGTAAAACGTATTTGAAAAAATTAATCTCAAGTTCAATGACAGGTCGCAGAAATAGGGTGTCTGACCATCCCCTGCTGCTAAAACTCTCCAGGCACAGAACAAGTCTGTCGTCTGATGCCACGTGGGATAGGTCGCCGTTCTATTTTAGAAGGCTTGTGTCAGTTCTTGTTCCCTGGCGATGTGGTGGCTGTTGAACACAAAGATCCATGGCACCTCACAGGTGTCTCTGTGCTGATGAGTCCAGATGCCATCTCAGTCATGCGGATGGAAGGATCAGAGTCGGGCGTCGACGTGACGCTACTGTTGAGTTCAGCAGCAGAACCGCTGGGTTGGTGGGAGCGTTACGATTTGGGGGAGATTGAAGTCATGGCAGGACACATCTACACATCTGTCGTGGTTGAGTTACAGCAAACGTATATGGTGGAGGTACTGAGTGAGTGAGTATAGTTTTACGCCGCTTTTATCAACATTCCAGCAATATCACGGCGGGGAACTCCAGATCAAATGGGCTTCACACATTGAACCCATGTCGGGGATCGAACGCTTTAACCACGGGGCTGCCCCCGCTGCCCCCCGGAGGTACTGAGAACAACGTACAGTTGTTCCCTACATATCGAAGATCAACGTCTTCACATTTTGCAACAGGATAATGCTCGACCCCGTACTGCTAAACACAGCATGAACTTTCTTCGGAAAAACAACGTTCCTGTCCTGCCGTTGCTGTGCTCCACGCAAATGATGGTCATACCCCTTACTGACATTGACATTTTTCTTTTCTTGTGTCTCCATCTTGACTGACAATTTCAATGTCAGCAGGGACAAGTTCTTTTCTTCATTTATCACGGAGATTAACGTTTGATCCCGGTGATGCGTTGCTAAAGTAGTTCAGTATATAACTTGAACTCATCACGTGAACTGCTTATTTTACGATGTAAAGAAAACATTATCACTGACTCTGTATTTGATCTTTTATTAAAAATCCAAGCCAAGTATTTTATATATAGATATATGGTTTTTCTAGGCATTTTAAGAGGGAGCTTAAAATTAGATATATTATTGAAAAGACTATTCATTAAAGCATACATTCCATAAATAGGTCATTATCTTTCTTGAAAACGGGTCCCTTTCAGATAGTTTCGCTAAACCGTATTTTACTGTTATGTCCGGTACGTTTTGGCAAGGTCAGTTTTGACTGGTAACCGTTGAAGGAATAAGCTGGTTCTCTGCCCTCTCTGCTCACCTTCAATGCATCGTCACTGAAATTGCAAGACAGAGCCCAGCTCTCACAAACGCAGCCTGGTTCCCCGAGTATGCTGCGTAGGCGTTTCTCACAAGCTCCGTACAGTGATGTCCGGGCGAAGTGTATAGTCAAAGGATGCTACAGTACCTCTAAACATATACATACTGACAGTCAAGGATTAAAAACTTTGGGCAAGTGTCGACAATTACGTGGCATTTCTATAACCCCTTCGACTTTGTTGCAGCACAGTGGACAATGTCACACTTCACTGTCATGTTATGAATGACTCGAATGGGTGTCTTGTGGCAGATGTATTTTTAGTTGCTCGACATTCACTGGTGACATGAAGAGGATAACGCAGTTACTACTCACTCTGCCGACTTGTGTGTTAAGAAGACTGCATGTACGTTCCATGGCAATGGCAGCGGCAACAGCACCCGTTAGCCAGGTCTCATGGTCACAGTACCGAACCTTCTACCACCAGCTGGGGGGCCATGGGAAGATAATTCAAGGCAGAAGATGCTTTAATTCATTGTGGGGTACAGACGAGAGTAAGCAAATTAGTTTATGATTGCAGTTCTGAGTATTCTAGCCTTACTTATGATAAAATGAGACAAGTGTATATATATAGATATGTCTGTGGTGGACTTCAAGCCATGGATATTCTGAATCAAGTTAGGGTACCCTATCCACATGAACACAGAGGTTAACCAACCCAGGCCAGCAAGCTAAGGATATCACCTGTGGGACGACTGTCAAAAATCTAAAAAATCTTTGATGGAAAGCATTAAGCATGTCTTAATAGTACTCATTATCTCCCTTACCCTTTTCCCTTATGTTATTTGATTGGTTGAAAAGACTCAATGAAAATAAAGGCACAGGTAATTTGGGATTACATTTGTGATGATTAGATCCAGGGTGTAGTGTAGGCTTACCTACAAGCCCTGGTCATATAGAGGATGGCCTGCTTTGAGAATGGTGCAGTATTGGGAGACATCATGTACAGTAGAGTATTATTAATGCAGCAGTACAGTGAGTTGATGCATCTCAGAGTAGAAACTCCTTATGGTGATATCTCCATTCAATCAAATGTTGCGCAATATGCTTATTTATTACCCAGTAACGTGTTGAGATGTTTAAGAAGCAATTATTGATGAGATGGTCTGTATGCTTTGAAGATTAGAACAGATAGTTTAGCACAACCTTAAAATTCTACATAATGTGGGCTTCTCTACCCAAGCCTGTAAATGTTTTCTTCTATATTCATCTGGTGGAGCTCAAACACCATGTCCACATGAACAAAGACTCCATTTCTACAGAAACAATGATAGCATGGAACATATTGATGATGTCATTAGATGCTAACAGCAGTTAGGTAGAGAGACCTAGAGACTCTGTGTGAAAATTTGTTAGAACAGAATACCAATATCCAAGACTGTCTTGCAAGAAAACATGTGAATAAGAAAATTTTTGGGGGGATCTTTTTTCAGTGAGATTAACATAGTACTTGTCAGTTCATTAGAATGTTTTGTTTTATTTGTTGTTTAATGCCACACTCGGCAATATTCCAGGTATATGGCAGTGGTCTGTAAATAATCACCTGAACATCAGCCATGTTGAATGTACATCTGTTCCTTTCTCCCATACATTGTATCACCTGAACATCAGCCATGTTGAATGTACATCTGTTCCTTCTCCCATCTGTTGTATCACCTGAACATCAGCCATGTTGAATGTACATCTGTCCCTTCTCCCATCTGTTGTATCACCTGAACATCAGCCATGTTGAATGTACATCTGTCCCTTCTCCCATCTGTTGTATCACCTGAACATCAGCCATGTTGAATGTACATCTGTCCCTTCTCCCATCTGTTGTATCACCTGAACATCAGCCATGTTGAATGTACATCTGTCCCTTTCTCCCATCTGTTGTATCACCTGAACATCAGCCATGTTGAATGTACATCTGTCCCTTCTCCCATCTGTTGTATCACCTGAACATCAGCCATGTTGAATGTACATCTGTCCCTTCTCCCATACATTGTATCACCTGAACATCAGCCATGTTGAATGTACATCTGTCCCTTCTCCCATCTGTTGTATCACCTGAACATCAGCCATGTTGAATGTACATCTGTCCCTTCTCCCATCTGTTTGTATCACCTCAGCCACATCAGCCATGTTGAATGTACATCTGTCCCTTCTCCCATGAACATCAGCCATGTTGAATATCACCTGAACATCAGCCATGTTGAATGTACATCTGTCCCTTCTCCCATCTGTTGTATCACCTGAACATCAGCCATGTTGAATGTACATCTGTCCCTTCTCCCATCTGTTGTATCACCTGAACATCAGCCATGTTGAATGTACATCTGTTCCTTCTCCCATACATTGTATCACCTGAACATCAGCCATGTTGAATGTACATCTGTCCCCTTCTCCCATCTGTTGTATCACCTGAACATCAGCCATGTTGAATGTACATCTGTCCCTTCTCCCATCTGTTGTATCACCTGAACATCAGCCATGTTGAATGTACATCTGTCCCTTCTCCCATCTGTTGTATCACCTGAACATCAGCCATGTTGAATGTACATCTGTCCCCTTCTCCCATCTGTTGTATCACCTGAACATCAGCCATGTTGAATGTACATCTGTCCCTTCTCCCATCTGTTGTATCACCTGAACATCAGCCATGTTGAATGTACATCTGTCCCTTCTCCCATCTATTGTATCACCTGAACATCAGCCATGTTGAATGTACATCTGTCCCTTCTCCCATCTGTTGTATCACCTGAACATCAGCCATGTTGAATGTACATCTGTCCCTTCTCCCATCTATTGTTGTATCACCTGAACATCAGCCATGTTGAATGTACATCTGTCCCTTTTCTCCCATCATCACCTGGACATTGTACATCACCTGAACATCAGCCATGTTGAATGTACATCTCCCTCCTTCTCCCATCTGTTGTATCACCTGAACATCAGCCATGTTGAATGTACATCTGTCCCTTCTCCCATCTGTTGTATCACCTGAACATCAGCCATGTTGAATGTACATCTGTTCCTTCTCCCATCTGTTGTATCACCTGAACATCAGCCATGTTGAATGTACATCTGTCCCTTCTCCCATCTGTTGTATCACCTGAACATCAGCCATGTTGAATGTACATCTGTCCCTTCTCCCATCTGTTGTATCACCTGAACATCAGCCATGTTGAATGTACATCTGTCCCTTCTCCCATCTGTTGTATCACCTGAACATCAGCCATGTTGAATGTACATCTGTCCCTTCTCCCATCTGTTGTATCACCTGAACATCAGCCATGTTGAATGTACATCTGTCCCTTTCTCCCATCTGTTGTATCACCTGAACATCAGCCATGTTGAATGTACATCTGTCCCTTCTCCCATCTGTTGTATCACCTGAACATCAGCCATGTTGAATGTACATCTGTCCCTTCTCCCATCTGTTGTATCACCTGAACATCAGCCATGTTGAATGTACATCTGTCCCTTCTCCCATCTGTTGTATCACCTGAACATCAGCCATGTTGAATGTACATCTGTCCCTTCTCCCATCTGTTGTATCACCTGAACATCAGCCATGTTGAATGTACATCTGTCCCTTCTCCCATCTATTGTATCACCTGAACATCAGCCATGTTGAATGTACATCTGTCCCTTCTCCCATCTGTTGTATCACCTGAACATCAGCCATGTTGAATGTACATCTGTCCCTTTCTCCCATCTGTTGTATCACCTGAACATCAGCCATGTTGAATGTACATCATCCCATTTCTCCCCTTCTCCCATCAGCCATGTTGAACATCACCTGAACAGCAGCCATGTTGAATGTACATCTGTCCTTCTCCCATCTGTTGTATCACCTGAACATCAGCCATGTTGAATGTACATCTGTCCCTTCTCCCATCTGTTGTATCACCTGAACATCAGCCATGTTGAATGTACATCTGTCCCTTCTCCCATCTGTTGTATCACCTGAACATCAGCCATGTTGAATGTACATCTGTCCCTTCTCCCATCTGTTGTATCACCTGAACATCAGCCATGTTGAATGTACATCTGTCCCTTCTCCCATCTGTTGTATCACCTGAACATCAGCCATGTTGAATGTACATCTGTCCCTTCTCCCATCTATTGTATCACCTGAACATCAGCCATGTTGAATGTACATCTGTCCCTTCTCCCATCTGTTGTATCACCTGAACATCAGCCATGTTGAATGTACATCTGTCCCTTCTCCCATCTGTTGTATCACCTGAACATCAGCCATGTTGAATGTACATCTGTCCCTTCTCCCATCTGTTGTATCACCTGAACATCAGCCATGTTGAATGTACATCTGTCCCTTCTCCCATACATTGTATCACCTGAACATCAGCCATGTTGAATGTACATCTGTCCCTTCTCCCATCTCCCATCTATTGTATCACCTGAACATCAGCCATGTTGAATGTACATCTGTCCCTTCTCCCATCTATTGTATCACCTGAACATCAGCCATGTTGAACATCACCTGCCATGTTGAATGTACATCTGTCCCTTCTCCCATCTGTTGTATCACCTGAACATCAGCCATGTTGAATGTACATCTGTCCCTTCTCCCATCTATTGTATCACCTGAACATCAGCCATGTTGAATGTACATCTGTCCCTTCTCCCATCTGTTGTATCACCTGAACATCAGCCATGTTGAATGTACATCTGTCCCTTCTCCCATCTATTGTATCACCTGAACATCAGCCATGTTGAATGTACATCTGTCCCTTCTCCCATCTTGTATCACCTGAACATCAGCCATGTTGAATGTACATCTGTCCCTTCTCCCATATATTGTATCACCTGAACATCAGCCATGTTGAATGTACATCTGTCCCTTCTCCCATCTGTTGTATCACCTGAACATCAGCCATGTTGAATGTACATCTGTCCCTTCTCCCATCTATTGTATCACCTGAACATCAGCCATGTTGAATGTACATCTGTCCCTTCTCACATCTATTGTATCACCTGAACATCAGCCATGTTGAATGTACATCTGTCCCTTCTCCCATCTGTTGTATCACCTGAACATCAGCCATGTTGAATGTACATCTGTTCCTTCTCCCATCTGTTGTATCACCTGAACATCAGCCATGTTGAATGTACATCTGTTCCTTCTCCCATACATTGTATCACCTGAACATCAGCCATGTTGAATGTACATCTGTCCCTTCTCCCATCTGTTGTATCACCTGAACATCAGCCATGTTGAATGTACATCTGTCCCTTCTCCCATCTGTTGTATCACCTGAACATCAGCCATGTTGAATGTACATCTGTCCCTTCTCCCATCTGTTGTATCACCTGAACATCAGCCATGTTGAATGTACATCTGTCCCTTCTCCCATCTTTGTATCACCTGAACATCAGCCATGTTGAATGTACATCTGTCCCTTCTCCCATCTGTTGTATCACCTGAACATCAGCCATGTTGAATGTACATCTGTCCCTTCTCCCATCTGTTGTATCACCTGAACATCAGCCATGTTGAATGTACATCTGTCCCTTCTCCCATACATTGTATCACCTGAACATCAGCCATGTTGAATGTACATCTGTCCCTTCTCCCATCTATTGTATCACCTGAACATCAGCCATGTTGAATGTACATCTGTCCCTTCTCCCATCTGTTGTATCACCTGAACATCAGCCATGTTGAATGTACATCTGTCCCTTCTCCCATCTATTGTATCACCTGAACATCAGCCATGTTGAATGTACATCTGTCCCTTCTCCCATACATTGTATCACCTGAACATCAGCCATGTTGAATGTACATCTGTCCCTTCTCCCATCTGTTGTATCACCTGAACATCAGCCATGTTGAATGTACATCTGTCCCTTCTCCCATCTATTGTATCACCTGAACATCAGCCATGTTGAATGTACATCTGTCCCTTCTCCCATCTGTTGTATCACCTGAACATCAGCCATGTTGAATGTACATCTGTCCCTTCTCCCATCTATTGTATCACCTGAACATCAGCCATGTTGAATGTACATCTGTCCCTTCTCCCATACATTGTATCACCTGAACATCAGCCATGTTGAATGTACATCTGTCCCTTCTCCCATCATTGTATCACCTGAACATCAGCCATGTTGAATGTACATCTGTCCCTTCTCCCATACATTGTATCACCTGAACATCAGCCATGTTGAATGTACATCTGTCCCTTCTCCCATCTTGTATCACCTGAACATCAGCCATGTTGAATGTACATCTGTCCCTTCTCCCATCTGTTGTATCACCTGAACATCAGCCATGTTGAATGTACATCTGTCCCTTCTCCCATCTGTTGTATCACCTGAACATCAGCCATGTTGAATGTACATCTGTCCCTTCTCAAGGTGAAACATTACTTTTTGCCAGTGAAGAGAATGTGTAATTCAATGTAACGCTATGCATGTTTCAGTAAAAAATGAAGAATAACCTCATCAATGTTTTGTGAAAGTACATGATTTTCTATATGAAACTTTGTGAAACTGTGCGCGATATCAGTCAGTATGTGTTTCAAAGTGTGCTCAAAAATTCTGACTTAAGGTTATAGTTATTAATTTTGCTTTGTTAGCCAAAGATAAGCCATTGCTGCTATATGGTCTTATACACTATATGTGTGCGTGGTATTGAAAATAACATATGCAACATTTCATGCATGTTGATATGGGATACATCTGGGACCTACATCTACATCTACTGAAGTTGAAATTATGTGAAATTTTGGAAGAGCCACTAAGCTTTTTTATTCATCTCCACTGCGAATGCCCCTCAGTTTTTTTCTTTATCTTGAAGGTATACAGTTGTGCTGCAAATCCTAAAAGGTCATGCAAGAACATATGAAGCTAAACTGCAGGTGGCCATGGCAGAAATACCTCACCTCAGGTACCAGACTTCTCGCATTCTGTCCCTCAGTACTTCCAACTGTTGATATATTTACATGATGAGGTAGATGTTCTTGAGGTGTGATCAGCTAGATGTACTGGGAGAGGTGATCAGCTAGGTGTACTGGGAGAGGTGATCAGCTAGATGTACTGGGAGAGGTGATCAGCTAGGTGTACTGGGAGAGGTGATCAGCTAGATGTACTGGAAGAGGTGATCAGCTAGGCGTACAGGGAGAAGTGATCAGCTAGATGTACTGGAAGAGGTGATCAGGTAGGTGTACTGGGAGAGGTGATCAGCGAGGTGTACTGGAAGAGGTGATCAGCTAGGTGTACTGAAAGAGGTGATCAGCTAGGTGTCCTGGGAGAGGTGATCAGCTAGATGTACTGGAAGAGGTGATCAGCTAGGTGTACTGGGAGAGTTCATATGCAAGGTGTACTTGGAGATGTGATCAGCTATGTGTACTGGGAGAGTTGATCAGCTAGGTATACTGAGAGATTTGATCAGCTAGGTGTACAGGGAGAGTTGATATGCAAGATGTACTGGGAGAGGTGATCAGCTAGGTGTACTGGGAGAGGTGATCAGCTAGATGTACTGGGAGAGGTGATCAGCTAGGTGTACTGGGAGAGGTGATCAGCTAGATGTACTGGAAGAGGTGATCAGCTAGGCGTACAGGGAGAAGTGATCAGCTAGATGTACTGGAAGAGGTGATCAGGTAGGTGTACTGGGAGAGGTGATCAGCTAGATGTACTGGAAGAGGTGATCAGCGAGGTGTACTGGAAGAGGTGATCAGCTAGGTGTACTGGAAGAGGTGATCAGCTAGGTGTACTGAAAGAGGTGATCAGCTAGGTGTCCTGGGAGAGGTGATCAGCTAGATGTACTGGAAGAGGTGATCAGCTAGGTGTACTGGGAGAGTTCATATGCAAGGTGTACTTGGAGATGTGATCAGCTATGTGTACTGGGAGAGTTGATCAGCTAGGTATACTGGGAGAGGTGATCAGCTAGGTATACTGAGAGATTTGATCAGCTAGGTGTACAGGGAGAGTTGATATGCAAGATGTACTGAGAGAGGTGATCGGCTAAGTGTACTGGGAGAGGTGATCAGCTAGGTGTACTAGGAGAGGTGATCAGATAGGTGTACTGCGAGAGGTGATCAGCTAGGTGTACTAGGTGATGTGATCAGCTAGGTGTACTGGGAGAGGTGATCAGCTAGATATGATCAGCTGTGTGTACTGGGAGAGGTGATCAGTTCGGTGTACTAGGAGATGTGATCAGCTAGGTGTACTAGGAAATGTGATCAGATAGGTGTACAGGGAGATGTGATGAGCTAGGTGTACTAGGAGAGGTGATCAGCTAGGTGTACAAGGAGATAAGATCAGCTAGGTGTACTAGGAGATGTGATCAGCTAGGTGTACTAAGAGATGTGATGAGCTAGGTGTACTTGGATATGTGATCAGCTAGGTGTACTAAGAGATGTGATGAGCTAGGTGTACTAGGAGAGGTGATCAGCTAGGTGTACAAGGAGATGTCATCAGCTAGGTGTACTGAGTAGTATAGGGAATGGCGAGAAAAAGACGTATAGGTGCACCTTTGCTTAGAAGCTTCCATACGGGCTGGGGGCCGTGGGGTAGCCTAGTGGTTAAAGCGTTGGCTCGTCACGCCGAAGACCTGGGTTCGATTCCCCACATGGGCACAATGTGTGAAGTCCATTTCTGGTGTCCCCCGCCGTGATATTGCTGGAATATTGCTAAAAGCGGCGTAAAACTAAACTCAGTCAGTCAGTCAGTCCATACGGGCTAATTCTGCTACCATAGATATAGTCTGCTGTACAGTCTACATATAGATATAGTCTGCTGTACAGTCTACATATAGATATAGTCTGCTGTACAGTCTACAGATAGATGTTGTCTGCTGTACAGTCTATAGATATAGTCTGCTGTACAGTCTACATATAGATATAGTCTGCTGTACAGTCTACAGATAGATATAGTCTGCTGTACAGTCTACAGATAGATATAGTCTGCTGTACAGTCTACATATAGATATAGTATGTTGTACAGTCTACAGAGAGATGTTGTCTGCTGCACAGTCTATAGATACCATAGCTAGGTGTGATCAGCTAGGTGTACTGCGAGAGGTGATCATCTAGGTGTACTAGGAGATGTGATCAGCTAGGTGCACTTGGAGAGGTGATCAGCTAGGTGTGATCAGCTGTGTGTACTGGGAGAGGTGATCAGTTCGATGTACTAGGAGATGTGATCAGCTAGGTGTACTAGGAGATGTGATCAGACAGGTGTACAGGGAGATGTGATGAGCTAGGTGTACTAGGAGATGTGATCAGATAGGTGTACTAGGAGATGTGATCAGATAGGTGTACAGGGAGATGTGATCAGATAGGTGTACTAGGAGATGTGATCAGCTAGGTGTACTAACAGATGTGATGAGTTAGGTGTACTAGGAGAGGTGATCAGCTAGGTGTACAAGGAAATGTGATCAGCTATGTGTACTAGGAGAGGTGATCAGATAGGTGTTCAGGGAGATGTGATCAGCTAGGTGTACTAGGAGATGTGATCAGCTAAGTGTACTAACAGATGTGATCAGCTAGGTGTACTAGGAGATGTGATCAGCTAGGTGTACTAGGAGATGTGATCAGATAGGTGTACAGGGAGATGTGATCAGCTAGGTGTACTAGGAGATGTGATCAGCTAGGTGTACTAACAGATGTGACGACCTAGGTGTACTAGGAGATGTGATCAGCTAGGTGTACTAGGAGATGTGATCAGCTAGGTGTACTAGGAGAGGTGATCAGCTAGGTGTACAAGGAGATGTCATCAGCTAGGTGTACTGAGTAGTATAGGGAATGGTGAGAAAAAGACGTATAGGTGCACCTTTGCTTAGAAGCTTCCATACGGGTTAATTCTGCTACCAGCCTAGTAAAAATGAGTGTTTGCCAAACAAACTTCGACAAGACCACTTTTGGCTGCTCCCAACGCAGTGCACTCCCAATTAGAGCTATGTGGGTGTATGGATATAGATGTAGACTAGACAAACTGGGGCACACTAGGTGCAGACTAGACAATTTGGGCACACTAGACAGAACCTAGAAGTTTGCTTGTTTTGCAAAGCATTTGCCAAGCATTGCCAAACATTTGCCAAGCATTGCTAAGCATTTGCTAAGCATTTGCTAAGCATTTGCTAAGCATTTGTCAAGCATTGCCAAGCATTGCCAAGCAAACTTCTAGGTTCTGTCTAGTGTGCCCAGTTTGTCTAGTCTACATCTAGTGTGCCCTAGTTTCTTCATATAGACAAGTTTTGTGAATGTAGATATATAGTACCACCAAATGCCTCCAAAAAGACAACTATCGCAAGACCAAGTGGAGGAGATTCGCAAGATGCGTGGAAAAGTCCCAGCACAAGAAACGAGACAACGATTGGCATCGGTTCCAATCGACTACGCAAAATATGGAATACGGCCTCGGAACCGTCTACCAACACCACTGGAGAGAAAGCTCCAAATCCGGCCTCTACCCCCAGCACAGACGCATTGCCTGCGGCTATCTCGCCCGCTAGCGCATGGTCTACCGGCAGCGTATTGCCTGCGGCCATCTTGTCCCCCAGCGAGCCGTCTACCAGCAGCGTATTGCCTGCTGCAGAAAAGTCGACTGCGCCCACCGTCCAGGACTTCTACGACCGCTTGGGGAGGCTCGAGGCTCGTGTGGAGCAAACTGCGGCGATGGAGCAAGCCCGAATACGTTGCCGGCTCGTGTGGAGCAAACCACGAATTTGTTGGTCGACATCTTGTCGATGCTGGACAAGGACGACGACGAACTCCTGGAGGAAATAGAAAGCGTCGCGGAGGAACAACAAGAGACCCGTCTGGATATCCAGAAGGTGCGGCAGATGGTAGAATCGGCCCAAAGGTTGGCCTACCTTTCGATAGCTGCCCTGTTTCTCTGGAAGGTAGTCCACAAGACCTGGAAGCACAGCAAACCAGTTTCCCCCTTCGTGCACCCCCTCCACACACCAACCGAGAAGGTAGAAACACACAAGACCAAACGTGGGGATCCCTTCCATATGGAGTAGAGTGTAGAATGCAGCCTCTGGGGAAAAAAAGTATCATAGTAGGGTATACGAACCATGCAGGGTTTTTTTGGTTTTTCGTCGAGGCGTGCGCCCTACTTTCCGTACCACAAATTCCACAAAAAGCAGTTGGAATACGAAAACGGGCCTAGACAAGTGTACGACTCCATTCGTCGTTTGAAACCCCCAGCCCGCGACAGTGCATCTGCATAATACTAGGCGAGCTGTCGGAGGGTCCTCTCTCCCTAGCCCTGTGGTGTCTGGAAGGACCCATAGAACCTATTCTTGCCCAAGGTCTGGAAGCAGCAACTCGACTTCTCTATCGTCTTTCTCTTTCGATATGGGCGAGCGGCAGATTTTGCCGAGCGTGCACAGAAACGGTTCCCGCACCAACCGTAGGCGTTCTATTCCACCGGCGGCCCGAATCGTTTCTCGTATCTTGTAGCTGTAGACTGGAATCGTTTCCCCAGTCGGGGAATCGAGTAGCAACAACAGCCGGTTCTTTCCTTCGTATCTCGCTACAGCAAACTTTTTGCATGTGTAGACTCCTTCTGGGACGTCCGCGTCTTTTCGGTGTTCGCTGCACGGAGGGGGTGCCACTTCCATATCCTTGGACCCCCCATAGTTGGGCAATGGGGTATGCCAAATATTGCCCCTTCCCTGTGGTACCTCTGCTTCCCCCAACAGCTGCCGGAAGATACAAGACTCTTTCTCCTTGCACGGACAATGGTCCACCAATTTGCTGGCGAGGAGTGCGTACCGTATGCTCCAGAAAGCGCAGGCGTTGTCGTACAGGCTCTCTACATTCGCGAAACAGCTGTCGACCCCGATCTCTTCTGGAACCTCGAGTGGGAGTCGCTCCTGGGGTGTGTAGTCTATTGCTTTCTTTTCCCAGAGAACGCATTTCTTGCTGTCGGCGCAGTGGTCGATGGCACCACACTTGCATGTAGAGTTGTCAGGGCCGAAGAGAGCAGGCAGTTCCGATAGAGTGGCGAGGCAGTCGGTGCATCGGTTGTGTCTGTCCTTGGGGCCCGGATAGCAGTCGTCGGCGAGAATGATTCGGAGTTTGCCCGCTGAGGGTCGAAATTGGTGGGGTGGGTAGATGTAGACGAAATCGACTATTTTGCCGGCTTCTACTAGCACAGCAAATAGAGTTCGAGAAACTGGTGGGGGATCTGGTAGCGTTCGTAGAAGGTGTGTCCTTATTGCTCCAGGATTTGTTTCTCTTGGTCGGAAAGCAACATGGGGCGACACTTCTCCAGCAGACCCTCGAAGACTTCGGCCATGTCGGGAGTTGTCGTCGTCTGGGGCTTGCCTATACCACCTCGGATTCGCGTGTATCGAGCTTGCGATATGTGGTACTTCCTCTTCGCTTCCCGAAGGGACAAACGACCCGATCGGATCTCGGTATAGGCTTCGCGCAAGAGCTTGGTTCCTGGCATGTTTCTATATCCATGCACCCACATAGCTCTAATTGGGAGTGCACTGCTTTGGGAGCAGCCGAAAGTGGTCTTGTCGAAGTTTGTTTGGCAAACACTCATTTTTACTAGGCTGGTAGCAGAATTAGCCCGTATGGAAGCTTCTAAGCAAAGGTGCACCTATACGTCTTTTTCTCGCCATTCCCTATACTACTTACTGGGAGATGTGATCAGATAGGTGTTCAGGGAGATGTGATCAGCTAGGTGTACTAGGAGATGTGATCAGCTAGGTGTACTAGGAAATGTGATCAGATAGGTGTACAGGGAGATGTGATCAGCTAGGTGTACTAGTAGATGTGATCAGCTAGGTGTACTCGGAAATGTGATCAGTTCGGTGTACTTGGAGATGTGATCAGCTAGGTGTACTAGGAGATGTGATCAGCTAGGTGTACTAGGAGATGTGATCAGCTAAGTGTACTAGGAGAGGTGATCAGCTAGGTGTACTAGGAGATGTGATCAGATAGGTGTACTATGGGATGTGATCAGCTAGGTATACTAGGAGAGTTGATCAGCTAGGTGTACTGGGAGATGTGATCAGCTGTACAGGGAGAGTTGATATGCTAGGTGTCGTGTCTTCACTGTAATGACCATAGCCGATGACAGAACAACTTACATTAACGTGACCGCAGACATGTTTATTCCGAGGGGCTACATGCAGGACCCCCAAAGGGACGTCACTCTGGTTGGTAACTTCTGTCACAGTGGCAACAAGGCTTCCGGAGTTGTCTCCTTTATATCGTTGAAAGTAAAGTCTTGGGTGTCCATACACTACACTAGGTGTATGGGGAGAAGTGATCAGCTATATGGATATCTCCTTCTAAAGTCATATTCAAAGCATTGTTTAAGTTTAATGTCCGAAGTGTTTGTGTAGGTGCCGACTATCAGGGGTAACTGAACATCACAAGCAGAGGCTGACAGGGGGAACCAGGGACACCTGGCTTCACAACAGTCGAAGACTCTTACAGGTGATCACATACTTTCTCCTGTCACATCACTCCTAAAGGTGAACACACAGTCGACTGTACAGCTGAGACGTGGGTGTTTTCATGGATGTTGTCTGCTATACAGTCTGCATATAGATATAGTCTGCTGTACAGTCTACAGAGAGATATAGTCTGCTGTACAGTCTGCATATAGATATAGTCTGCTGTACAGTCTACAGACAGATATAGTCTGCTGTACAGTCTACAGATAGATATAGTCTGCTGTACAGTCTATAGATATAGTCTGCTGTACAGTCTACAGATAGATATAGTCTGCTGTACAGTCTGCTGTACAGTCTACAGATAGATGTTGTCTGCTGTACAGTCTATAGATATAGTCTGCTGTACAGTCTACAGATAGATATAGTCTGCTGTACAGTCTACAGATAGATATAGTCTGCTGTACAGTCCATAGTCTGCTGTACAGTCTACAGATAGATGTCTGCTGTACAGTCTATAGATATAGTCTGCTGTACAGTCTATAGATACAGATAGATATATGTTGTCTGCTGTACAGTCTACAGATAGATATAGTCTGCTGTACAGTCTACAGATAGATATAGTCTGCTGTACAGTCTACAGGTATAGTCTGCTGTACAGTCTACAGATAGATATAGTCTGCTGTACAGTCTACAGATAGATATAGTCTGCTGTACAGTCTACAGATAGATATAGTCTGCTGTGTACAGTCTACAGATAGATATAGTCTGCTGTACAGTCTACTAGATAGATATAGTCTGCTGTACAGTCTACAGATAGATATAGTCTGCTGTACAGTCTACAGATAGATATAGTCTGCTGTACAGTCTACAGATAGATATAGTCTGCTGTACAGTCTACAGATAGATATAGTCTGCTGTACAGTCTACAGATAGATATAGTATAGTCTGCTGTACAGTCTACAGATATAGTCTGCTGTACAGTCTACAGATAGATATAGTCTGCTGTACAGTCTACAGATAGATATAGTCTGCTGTACAGTCTACAGATAGATATAGTCTGCTGTACAGTCTATAGATATAGTCTGCTGTACAGTCTACAGATAGATATAGTCTGCTGTACAGTCTACAGATAGGTATAGTCTGCTGTACAGTCTATAGATAGATATAGTCTGCTGTACAGTCTACAGGTATAGTCTGCTGTACAGTCTATGGATATAGTCTGCTGTACAGTCTACAGATAGATATAGTCTGCTGTACAGTCTACAGTCAGATATAGTCTGCTGTACAGTCTATAGATATAGTCTGCTGTACAGTCTACAGATAGATAGAGTATAGTCTGCTGTACAGTCTACAGATAGATATAGTCTGCTGTACAGTCTACAGATAGATATAGTCTGCTGTACAGTCTACAGATAGATATAGTCTGCTGTACAGTCTACAGATATAGTCTGCTGTACAGTCTATAGATATAGTCTGCTGTACAGTCTACAGATAGATATAGTCTGCTGTACAGTCTACAGATAGATATAGTCTGCTGTACAGTCTATAGATATAGTCTGCTGTACAGTCTACAGATAGATATAGTCTGCTGTACAGTCTACAGGTATAGTCTGCTGTACAGTCTATAGATAGATATAGTCTGCTGTACAGTCTACAGGTATAGTCTGCTGTACAGTCTATAGATAGATATAGTCTGCTGTACAGTCTACAGGTATAGTCTGGTATAGTCTGCGTACAGTCTATAGATATAGTCTGCTGTACAGTCTACAGATAGATATAGTCTGCTGTACAGTCTACAGGTATAGTCTGCTGTACAGTCTATAGATATAGTCTGCTGTACAGTGTACATGTTTGGATGTTTTCATGAGTGTTGTCTGCCATACAGTTATGACATGAACATTGTCTGCTGTACAGGAGCGAGAGTTGAAGCTACGCACAGCATTGAGTCAAGTGAAAAACCAACGAAGTTTGGTTCGTAAGAAAAGACAGAAGAAAAACATCCCAACAATTGCAGTGGTGGGATACACAAATTCAGGTAGGTTGTCATGTTGTGAATGTCGAGGTGTTATTTGTCTTTATGTAGTAGTAATACCTCCGACAACTTGGGTGTAACAGTGTCAGCACTCGCTCAGTGTATAAGCTGGTAAAAAGTAATGGCAGCATAATATGCTGTCACATACCACCCCAGTCTCATTATAATCAGTGAGGGCATCCCATTATAGGTCGCGGTCAGAAAGACCGTTTTCCAACTTTGATGTAGCAATGAAATTGTCGATACTAGCCAATCGAACAGCAGTTTACTGAGGCTGTATGACACTGGCTTCAACAAACTGGCAACTACGCTTTGAAAAATATTGTGACAAATTGTAGTGTTTGTATCATGCAAACAGTTGGGAGTTGTCTCCCTTTGTATATATGCTGCCACTTGCCCAGTGTGTTGATGTTCAGAAGTGTTGGTCTTGATTTGTTATGCATTGTAGTTATCTTGTCACATCTTGCCATGATTGACATGCTCTTTAGAGATTGTTGGGTGCTTGTAGTTCTTCCACGACCTGGTTCTGCATGTGTGTTACCTGATCAATGTTTCCTACAACTTCAAAGGATTTGTCATCATATGTATTGTATTGTTGGTTATGTTAGAGTTGTCGTCCTTGTGGTTAGAAAATACCAGTCATGTGGCAACCACAGAACTAGCCGTATTTCTCCATTACTTGCAAGTTTGGGATTTGCAACACTATTTAGTGTATATGCATGGCAAGACCAAACATAAACTTGTCAACATTTGTTTTTGTCTTTGCCTGCAGCACCTGAGGAAAAGTATTTTCCTAAATACCTCTGAAGTCATACTTAACAAGATTTGGAATTTTTGTCTCCATTTGTTAGCCCTATTCTCAGTCAACAATTTACGTCTGAAAAGTTCAAGAAGATTCTAAATTTTTCAGAATCTGTTGGCCAATCAGAGTGACTAATATCCAAACCACATCCTGTGTGGCATCTTATCATGGTAACATGTAGGCCATCTCTATCATACATTCATATATAACCATAATATATGAAAGCAGCATTTCCATTCTGTGGATCTAGTTAACCGCTTGGTTAGAATGGTTAAAATAGTTATCCAGATAGCTGTCAAAAATGTTATAAATCACTGAAGTGTTCAAGGAAGAGAAGTTCCAATGTGAAAGGTGAAGGTGAAGGACACAACGATTTGAGCTGCAGTGCTATGGTACTGATTTAATGACACGTTATGTGGTAGTAATGAAATCTAACATATAACAATGTTTTCCTGATATCTGCTTAGGGAAGACAAGCCTGATTGAGGCACTAACAGGTGACAGAAAGCTGGAGCCCAGAGACCAGTTGTTTGCCACACTAGATGTAACAGCCCATGCAGGAACTCTACCCAACATGATGTCTGTCCTCTTCATTGACACAGTTGGCTTCATAGCAGACACTCCTGCTATGCTCATGGAAGCTTTTGCTGCAACATTGGAGGATGCAGTTCTGGCTGTAAGTAAAAGCAAGTACCGGCACACTTTTGGAATATTACATGGAGACCTGGACTTAATGTGGATTCCTTTGGTACCCAGGCCTGTGTTGTGACAAATATATTGTAGTGCTATATATTGCGATTCTGGTACCCATATTCCAATATGTATTGGGAGTTTCAGTGTTTGACAGTGAGTGACATTGATTGTAGAGCCTGTTTTCTACTAAAGCCCTAAAAATAAATGTTATGGTTGTGAATATGAAGTCTTCTGATTAACTCTATGGTTTAAGTTGAAATCTACAGACTTTCTTTCACACTGAAGTTTTCCACTATACTTTACATACAATAAATTTAATAAAAAAGTAAATACAATCTCTCAAAATCTAATCAAAATATTTTTATTACCTAATGTACCAGTTCTGAGAAAAAACCCATTGCAATACATAACATTTGAAAGGTATATTGTGATATACCAATATACCAGTACCGGTAATACTGTGCAGTCCAACAGGCCCTACTTTTTGTCACATGTGTTAAGGATGTACCTGCTGATTGGTGACATTTTACATGTACAGTGTGGCAGTCTAGTTTGCCATAGCCATACACCAATGTGATATAACACTTAGCACCAATCGCTACGGTAGTTACTGAATGTATGTGTTGCATGACGTGGATCCATGTTGTATGTGTGTGTTTCATGATGTGGATCCATGTTGTATGTATGTGTTGCATGACGTGGATCCATGTTGTATGTGTGTGTTTCATGATGTGGATCCATGCTGTATGTATGTGTTGCATGACGTGGATCCATGCTGTATGTATGTGTTTCATGATGTGGATCCATGCTGTATGTATGTGTTGCATGACGTGGATCCATGCTGTATGTATGTGTTTCATGACGTGGATCCATGCTGTATGTGTGTTTCATGATGTGGATCCATGCTGTATGTATGTGTTTCATGACGTGGATCCATGCTGTATGTGTTTGTTTCATGATGTGGTTCCATGCTGTATGTGTGTGTGTTTCATGACGTGGATTCATGTTGTATGTATGTGTTTCATGATGTGGATCCTTGCTGTATGTACGTTTCATGACGTGGATCCATGCTGTATGTGTGTGTTTCATGACGTGGACCCTTGCTGTATGTGTGTGTGTTGCATGACGTGGATCCATGTTGTATGTGTGTGTTTCATGATGTGGATCCATGTTGTATGTATGTGTTTCATGACGTGGATCCATGCTGTATGTATGTGTTTCATGATGTGGATCCATGCTGTATGTATGTGTTTCATGATGTGGATCCATGCTGTATGTATGTGTTTCATGACATGGATCCTTGCTGTATGTATGTGTTTCATGATGTGGTTCCATGCTGTATGTGTGTGTGTGTCATGACGTGGATTCATGTTGTATGTATGTGTTTCATGATGTGGATCCTTGCTGTATGTACGTTTCATGACGTGGATCCATGCTGTATGTGTGTGTTTCATTACGTGGACCCTTGCTGTATGTGTGTGTTGCATGACGTGGATCCATGTTGTATGTGTGTTTCATGATGTGGATCCATGTTGTATGTATGTGTTTCATGATGTGGATCCATGCTGTATGTATGTGTTTCATGATGTGGATCCATGCTGTATGTATGTGTTTCATGACATGGATCCTTGCTGTATGTATGTGTTTCATGATGTGGTTCCATGCTTAATGTGTGTGTGTGTCATGACGTGGATTCATGTTGTATGTATGTGTTTCATGATGTGGATCCTTGCTGTATGTACGTTTCATGATGTGGATCCATGCTGTATGTGTGTGTTTCATTACGTGGACCCTTGCTGTATGTGTGTGTTGCATGACGTGGATCCATGTTGTATGTGTGTTTCATGATGTGGATCCATGTTGTATGTATGTGTTTCATGATGTGGATCCATGCTGTATGTATGTGTTTCATGATGTGGATCCATGCTGTATGTATGTGTTTCATGATGTGGATCCATGCTGTATGTATGTGTTTCATGATGTGGATCCTTGCTGTATGTATGTGTTTCATGATGTGGTTCCATGCTGTATGTGTGTGTGTTTCATGACGTGGATTCATGTTGTATGTATGTGTTTCATGATGTGGATCCTTGCTGTATGTACGTTTCATGACGTGGATCCATGCTGTATGTATGTGTTTCATGACATGGATCCATGCTGTATGTATGTGTTTCATGATGTGGTTCCATGCTGTATGTGTGTGTTTCATGGCGTGGATCCATGTTGTATGTATGTGTTTCATGATGTGGATCCATGCTGTGCTGTATGCACGTTTCATCATGGATCCATGCTGTATGTATGTGTTTCATGACGTGGACCCTTGCTGTATGTATGTGTGTGTGTTGCATGACGTGGATCCATGCTGTTGTATGTGTGTTTCATGATGTGGATCCATGTATGTATGTGTTTCATGTGGATCCTTGCTGTATGTATGTGTTTCATGATGTGGTTCCATGCTGTATGTATGTGTTTCATCATGTGGATCCATGCTGTATGTATGTGTTTCATGACGTGGATCCTTGCTGTATGTATGTGTTTCATGATGTGGTTCCATGCTGTATGTGTGTGTGTTTCATGACGTGGATTCATGTTGTATGTATGTGTTTCATGATGTGGATCCTTGCTGTATGTACGTTTCATGACGTGGATCCATGCTGTATGTGTGTGTTTCATGACGTGGATCCATGCTGTATGTATGTGTTTCATGACGTGGATCCATGTTGTATGTGTGTTTCATGATGTGGATCCATGCTGTATGTATGTGTTTCATGATGTGGATCCATGCTGTATGTATGTGTTTCATGATGTGGATCCATGCTGTATGTATGTGTTTCATGACGTGGATCCATGCTGTATGTATGTGTTTCATGATGTGGATCCATGCTGTATGTGTGTGTTTCATGATGTGGATCCATGCTGTATGTATGTGTTTCATGACGGATCCATGTTGTATGTATGTGTTTCATGATGTGGATCCATGCTGTATGTGTGTTTCATGATGTGGATCCTTGCTGTATGTATGTGTTTCATGATGTGGATCCATGCTGTATGTGTGTGTGTTGCATGACGTGGATCCATGTTGTATATGTGTGTTTCATGATGTGGATCCATGTTGTATGTATGTGTTTCATGATGTGGATCCATGCTGTATGTATGTGTTTCATGACGTGGATCCATGCTGTATGTATGTGTTTCATGATGTGGATCCATGCTGTATGTATGTGTTTCATGACGTGGATCCTTGCTGTATGTATGTGTTTCATGATGTGGTTCCATGCTGTATGTGTGTGTGTTTCATGACGTGGATTCATGTTGTATGTATGTGTTTCATGATGTGGATCCTTCATGTATGTATGTGTTTCATGACGTGGATCCATGCTGTATGTATGTGTTTCATGACGTGGATCCATGCTGTATGTATGTGTTTCATGATGTGGTTCCATGCTGTATGTGTGTGTGTTTCATGACGTGGATTCATGTTGTATGTATGTGTTTCATGATGTGGATCCTTGCTGTATGTACGTTTCATGACGTGGATCCATGCTGTATGTGTGTGTTTCATGACGTGGACCCTTGCTGTATGTGTGTGTGTTGCATGACGTGGATCCATGTTGTATGTGTGTGTTTCATGATGTGGATCCATGTATGTATGTGTTTCATGACGTGGATCCATGCTGTATGTATGTGTTTCATCATGTGGATCCATGCTGTATGTATGTGTTTCATGACGTGGATCCTTGCTGTATGTATGTGTTTCATGATGTGGTTCCATGCTGTATGTGTGTGTGTTTCATGGCGTGGATTCATGTTGTATGTATGTGTTTCATGATGTGAATCCTTGCTGTTTCATCATGTGGATCCATGCTGTACGTTTCATGGCGTGGATCCATGCTGTATGTATGTGTTTCATGATGTGGATCCATGCTGTATGTGTGTGTGTTGCATGACGTGGATCCATGTTGTATATGTGTGTTTCATGATGTGGATCCATGTTGTATGTATGTATGTGTTTCATGACGTGGATCCATGCTGTATGTATGTGTTTCATGACGTGGATCCATGCTGTATGTATGTGTTTCATGATGTGGATCCATGCTGTATATGTGTGTTTCATGTGGATTCATGTATGTATGTGATTCATGCTGGATGTATGCTGTATGTCGTTTCATGATGTGGATCCATGCTGTATGTATGTGTTTCATGACGTGGATCCATGCTGTATGTATGTGTTTCATGACGTGGATCCATGCTGTATGTATGTGTTTCATGATGTGGATCCATGCTGTATATGTGTGTTTCATGACGTGGATCCATGCGGTATGTATGTGTTTCATGATGTGGATCCTTGCTGTATGTACGTTTCATGACGTGGATCCATGCTGTATGTGTGTGTTTCATGACGTGGACCCTTGCTGTATGTGTGTGTGTTGCATGACGTGGATCCATGCTGTATGTATGTGTTGCATGACGTGGATCCATGCTGGGGCGAGGTGGGCGAACTGGCTAAAGCATCAGGGTAGTGAACCAGAGAGCTTGAGGTTACGGGATCGAGCCCACCTGTGACCGGGTGTAAAAACCTAGTTGTGGGTACAGCAACGTGCAGTAACTTTGGACAAAGTACTGTGACTATGTGTCCCAGTCCACCCAGCTGTGAATGGGTACCTCGTAAGGATGGGAAAGCCACACTAACTTGGTGTGCCTAGTGGCTGGAAGAGTTGTATGCTCCCCAGGGAGTTGAGATTGATAATACAACGTGCCATTGAGATTGACATCTAGTGATCGAGGGGGAAAAAAAAGCGCCTTTGAACAGCAGAGCTGTATGTGTATATTTCATGACGTGGATCCATGCTGTATGTGTGTGTTTCATGACGTGGATCCATGCTGTATGTGTGTGTTTCATGATGTGGATCCATGCTGTATGTATGGTTCTGCATGTGTGTGACATGAACTGTTCCAGGACATAGTTTTGCATGTGTGTGACATGTGCTGTTCCAGCACCTGGTTCTGCATGTGTGTGACATGTGCTGTTCCAGCACCTGGTTCTGCATGTGTGTGACATGTGCTGTTCCAGGACCTGGTTCTGCATGTGTGTGACATGTGCTGTTCCAGGATATAGTTCTGAATGTGTGTGACATGTGCTGTTCCAGGACCTGGTTCTGCATGTGTGTGACATGTGCTGTTCCAGGACCTGGTTCTGCATGTGTGTGACATGTCCTGTTCCAGGATGTGGTTCTGCATGTGTGTGACTTGTGCTGTTCCACAAGATGGTTCTGCATGTGTGTGACATGTGCTGTTCCTCAAGATGGTTCTGCATGTGTGTGACATGTGCTGTTCAAGGACCTGGTTCTGCATGTGTGTGACATGTGCTGTTCCAGGACCTGGTTCTGCATGTGTGTGACATGTGCTGTTCCACAAGATGGTTCTGCATGTGTGTGACATGTGCTGTTCCAGGACCTGGTTCTGCATGTGTGTGACATGTGCTGTTCCAGCACCTGGTTCTGCATGTGTGTGACATGTGCTGTTCCAGGACCTGGTTCTGCATGTGTGTGACATGTGCTGTTCCAGGACCTGGTTCTGCATGTGTGTGACATGTGCTGTTCCAGCACCTGGTTCTGCATGTGTGTGACATGTGCTGTTCCAGGACCTGGTTCTGCATGTGTGTGACATGTGCTGTTCCAGGACATGGTTCTGCATGTGTGTGACATGTGCTGTTCCAGGACATGGTTCTGCATGTGTGTGACATGAGTCATCCAGACTGTTGGAGACAGAAGGAGATATGTGTGACATGTGCTGTTCCAGGACCTGGTTCTGCATGTGTGTGACATGAGTCATCCAGACTGTTGGAGACAGAAGGAGACAGTCCTTAAAGCACTACGACCCATGCTGTTGAATCATCAAATGGAATCTATCATGGAGGTGTGGAACAAAGTGGACATAGCCTGTGATAGCAGGTAAGATGTGTGACATTGCTTGGGTTCTAGAAGATGTGATGAGGGAAGAGGCCTGTTCTTCTAATTTTGCAGTGGAGTGGTAGTCACATGTGTAACAGACAATTCTTGGACAGACACGTGCATGTTAAGAATGCATCATGGGAAATATTGACTATGTTCAATAAAGCTAAGTGTCATTTTACTTTATGGTAAAATGTTGAGTGGCTACGAGTTCAAAGTAAAACAACTAACAGTTATTTGGCTCACCAGGCTGAAAGTCTTTGACATGGCCTGCTTAGTCCTTAGTCTTATCCTCTTGAATAATCTCAAATTTCATTGTTGCCTCTGTAGACAACAGAACATAATGAGGAAGCTAAACTTTGGCATGTGTTTCTCCTCGTGACATCATATTTCTTCAAATATTTAGGATTTCCAAGTGTTTCTTTGGAAACACTTTGAAAAATTGTATGTTATTGTGGAAAAAAATTCCTCCTAAGAAATGTAAAATATGCAGTGTTGAAACTTTGAGTAAAGTAAATATAATTGTTGTTTAGTATACCCACAACCTGAAAAGGTCAGGGTATACAGTTATACCAAGGTATTCTGTCCATACCAAGACACTTTTGTTCAATCAATCACATGAAATATATTGGTTTGGTTGATTTCAAATTTGATGACCACCTTCTTTAACTTAAAGGAGAGGTGCAGTGCAAATTTTGATTATGAATTGTTTTCAATAATTGTCGCAAATTACATCCCTTGAACTCGAGAAAAAGTCTTATGGATGTAATTATTATGAATATGTTCCTCTAACACTTTATTTCAAGTCCATGTTTTTGTGTCATCTTTCTTCCTAGTGGTACACCAAGAGCTTTCTGCGGGAGTTTACTCCCCTGTGTTTACTTGTTTTCTGAAAAATTTAGTCAAAACATTTTTGCTAACATTCCTGTTTGGTTATCATTTGTAAATCCAAGGGTTCTAAATATATTTTGTCCTCCCCATGGTTACAAAAAAAAAGTGCTCAGCCTGTGGGAAATTCATGTCTCCTCGGGATCCACCTGGAGATTGCTGGCAATGTGTTGACACTCCTTGTTCTTTTGTTGCCCCTTGTGAGGATTGTCAGCCACCATCAGCTTGGAGAAAGATGTTGTGGTTGTTTAAAAAAGGTCAAGAAAAAAAGATTATGAAGAACCTGCACTCCAGGACTCCAGTTAAGGTGCCTGCACACCGAGATGATCATAGACTCCGGGGAGCTAAACATTCCTTCTGTCTGATCCTGGTACGCCCTATCCGTCTACCCATCTGGAAATGATACCCAAGGTTGTTACAGAGGAAGCCACATCAGAAGCTCTGAAGCCTTTTGGAAACTTGATAAAAGGTGAAGCAGATTGAATTTCCATCTTAAGAAAGGAGCGGCATTCACAATCTACCTCCTTCTAAGAGAGTCAAGTCGGAGCTTAAGACACAGACCAAACCAGCTGCTACTGTCACCTCAGCTGATATATACCCTGAGATGCAAGGCATGGACCACGACTTTGATCATACGGACCGCACATATGTTGATAGTTTGGCGAGTGTTCATTGAAGAGAAGTCATGGACCGCACTGTCTTTAAATCATAGCAGAGGAAACAGGATCAGAGATGACAGTACTTGCACAGAGAGCTTGTGCTGTACAACATTGACTTGACTCACCTCAGACTTCAATAGCACAGACCTCGACCTAGGCTATAGACAACAATCATGCATGGAAAATGCCCATATATGACCCTGTTTCAGGGTCCAGTGGGTGGCTGTTTATTAGATTATGCAGAAAACTGGAAGATCATTCCGACCAGTCAGTGGATCGTCAAAGTTATCAGGGAAGGATATGACCTGCAATTTGCAAAGAGGCTCCCCTTGATGACACTCCCAGTACGATGTTAGGATCAGCTCCGGCAACCCAAGTTTCAGCTGACAGCCATAGACAAGCACTGGGACAAGAGGGCTGTCGTAGTTGGATCCTTTGGTGCCCTGACCGATATTCTTGCTCCCCAGGATAATTATTGATCTGTAGATCCTCAGCTGGGAATACCTGAGACGACCTCCCAAGTTTCCGGATGGAGCCTAAATGGACAAACAATCTCTATGGTTTCTGTAGTACGTATCAACATGTTTTGACTCTCAAAGATTCATTGTACCTAAGCTTTGGTGTTGGTGGAAGATTTCTAGTTCAGGGTTCTACTGTTCAGAATATCAGTCACTCCATGGCTATTCATGATCACCACTGCTCCAGGCCTAGTATATTTACGTCGTCAACATATAAGAATTCTCGGGTACCTGGATGATTTCCTGTCTCCAGAAACCGACATGGATACCTTTTTAGAAGAGTCTCAATGTCTGCCAGCTTTCTTCAGGAATTTGGGGGTCCTTGTTTATCCGGAAAAGTCAGAGCTTAACCAAAGAAAGTGCAGAAATATATCAGAAATATACATTCAACACCAGTTGTGCCCTAGTTTACCCTCCAGAGGATTGTTATTGAGAGGTCAGATCCAAGATAACATAGTTTGAGCGATCTCCTCACACTCTACATGAATGGACGTTGCTATTAGGAGCACTCACTTCTATGCAGGATCTTACATCTCAGATACATTCAAGACTAGATCAACCAACATCCAGGGACAGAGCTAGACTATCATACTGCCTACAGATCTAGTGTTCATGGACCTTACATGGTGGAATATTCCCAGCAGCGTCATCCATGGTACTCCAATCAAGATGCCGCCATCAGATCGCCACCTCTTCACAGATGCATCACTCAGGCATCAGGTTTCTGGGCTTTAGATTCTACAGTCAGCCATCTGGAGAGGAGGGCAGATCTCTTAGCTATTCAGCACTGGGTGCTACAACTAAGGAACTCTTACATACTTGTTGCCACGGACAATTCCATGGTAGTAGCATACATCAACAGGCTGGGATGAAGCCACTCTCATGTAATCATGGAGTCTGAATTGCATTATCATAACTAGACACATCCCAGGGAAACTCGGCATCCTTGCATATGTTCTCTCTCATCCAGAGAAGATCCTATCTTTGAAATGGATGCTTCATCTGGCTGCCCTCAGACAGTGATAAAATGGGAGCAACCTCATATAGATCTGTTTGTAACATCGCTCAACAACCAGTTACCAACTTACATCAGCCCAGTTCCAGATCCAGACCCATAGCTTACACTGTGGATGCCATGACAACTTCTTGGGAAGAAATTATTGTATACGCATTTCCACTGATAGTCTAATCCAACAAGTCCAAGCCAAGATCAGGAATCATTAGATCAACCACTTTTGGCCTATGCTTCTCAGACAAACAAAGTCGGACTGACTCCTTCGCAACCTGGAACAGCTCCACTTACTATCCCTGCCTTATATTACAGCCATGGAGTCAGATCTTAGGAAAAGTCTCCAGCTTTTGCATGAACCATAGAAGGATATTGCTTGGCTTTATCTTCACTAACAAAAGGTTTCATATTTGGAAGGAACCTTTTCTTACCAATATGTTACAATCTTTTGAACAAGAGGATATCGTAAGAAAATGCATAGCTACGAAATGGGATTTATCAGTAGTATTATCAGCATTATTGCATCCTCTTTTTAACCTATGGAAAGCATCGTGGAAGACAGCATTCCTTATGACATTAGCTACAGCTTCAAGCTTTTCAGAACCACATTTTTTTAAGTTGCTCAATCGTAATTTTGAAAGTTTTGTCTGGAATGCCAATTACAGTACTGCCGGAGTTCCTTGCCAAGGATCAAAAGTCATCAATGGGACCTCTAGAACAAGCATTCAATATCCCAGCTCTAGATTCTACTCTGGATCGCCACCTACCAGACAGGGTTCTGTGTCCAGTAAGAGCTCTCATGTGGTACTTGCATAGGACTGATGCATTTCATTGTGGACACTGCTGTCTCTGGATATCTTGTCAAGAGCAATCAGAGAAAGATATTTCCACAAACACAGTGGAAGCCTGGATTTAGAATGCTATAAAGCTGACTTATACTTTGTCAGAAGATCAGCCACCTACTTATGGATACATATACGTCCACACGAAATAAGAGCCATTGCTTCACCTCAGCACCATGGAAGACCGTCTCACCAGAACAGATCATGTCAGCTTTCCAGTGGGGGTCTTGAAACACTTTTCCATCATTTTATCTGAGGGATGTCAGGGACTTCATGACCAGTCTATCCTTACTGCCTAGCCTCCCTCTGGGTGGGGGAGAAGGATGAGGGAGTGAGAATAATTGCCCGATGGAGATGCCATGATTTCACAGACTTTGACATTAAAGGGCAAGTGTACACGAAAATTAACCTTTTTGTCTTGCACTTTTTCTTCATAAAATGTGTTTATCAAGTCGTTTTATATCCAAACCCATACATATATCAGAAGTAACTAATTTATTATTTGCGTTTTATCAATTCATATTTTCAACATTTACAAAGAGTTCTATGTCCACAATAACACACCATGGCTTATGTCCCTTGGAAATGACGTCATTGGTGCCCAAACGATAAACGAATGACGTCGTCAGACCTTATTAGACCCATTTCACGTGGTGCAGGTATAGGTGTGGTTCTTGTGTCTCGATGCGCAGGCTACTGTTTTAATCCATCTGTTGCTTGGCCGTCAGCTGACTATGTGGTCAGTTGTACACTGTAATGACGTTGCAGTTTGAAAAAACGTATACATTGTACTAAAAGTGTTACCACGTAACCAAATTGTATAACATATTCAACCTGAGTCTATCGAGCCTATCCAACAGTATCTTTTTTCATGAAACCTAAAACGTATAGACCATTCTTAATGAGGCCTCATGAATATTCATATCTGTACCAAAACGAGGCTAAATGGGGCAAGGACACAATCGCATAATGGTGACAGAACTCAATGTATACTTCCTGGTTTCAAATTTCCCTTGAACGGTACATTACGAAACTGTCCAGTAGTTCAGGGAAATCGCAGAGAAATGGGAAAGGGCTACACAAA